TCCCACTGTAACTCCTACCCCCAAGCTCTCCGCCCACCTCAAACCTCCCGCCTCCACCTTCCCCACCTGTAAAAGATGACCTCATCTCCCATGTTACTAAGAAAATTCGGCTCCACTCTGTCCTTCTTTGCTCAGGCCCCTCTCCTCCAGGCTCCCATTATGAAAAGAACATTCAAAGGCCCCTCTCAATGTAACCTCAGCCCCAACTTTGCAACCTCAGCTCCACTGGCCACCAGCTTGAACCCCATATACTAGTCAATAAGACTATTCACCGTGCACTCTCTGTACTTTATGCTTTCCTCTGCTTGCATCTTTGGCACATCTCAGTAATCAGTAATCCCCTCCTCCAACCTCCACCTCCTCCAACCCCACCCATCTTTGAGATCCTGGGTCAGATGCCACCTGCTTCAGAAAGCTTCTGTCCACCCAAATATAATATCTATCTATCTATCTCCCTCTTTCCATCTCTCTCTCTGCCTCTCTGCCCCTCTCTCTCTCTCTCCATCTCTCTCTCTGCCTCTCTCCCTCTCTCTCCATCTCTCTCTCTGCCTCTCTCTCTCTCTCTCTCCCTCTCTCTCCATCTCTCTCCCTCTCTCTCTCTCTCTCTCTCTCTTTCTCCGTCTCTCTCTCTTGCAGGCACTTACATGGCCAGGTATTACAGTGATGAGTGTACCTCTTGATGACCCCAGACCACAGGGGCCAGAATGAGGTCTTACCCATTTTGGCTGCAGCCACAGCTTCCAGCTCTGTGCCTCTCTCACTAAATTCAAGCTGCTTAGACAACAAAGAGAAAGAAGAAATGGAAAAATGAAGGAAAACGTGTTGAACCATAGAACTGCATGCTCTTAGAGCCTGCAGGGGCCCTTAGAGGACTCCTACTCCAAACGAGGAAGCCGTAAGGATAGGCTGGTGGTCAGTGTGAAGAACCCTGCCAGGTCCTCCAACACACAGCCGAGAGCTCCTTGGGACCAGGATGGTCAACAGTCTCGTACCTGAGGCTTGTGTCTGCCCCATTCAGGGTCAGAGGTGTCAGCCCAGGCTCCCTCCACAGCATGGACCATGCCCAGGAGTACAAATCATCTGAATCTCAGCCAGCTGCTGGGGCTCCCCTCTGTAAGGAAGGACCGTGTCTTCAACACCCCTCCCTGACTCTCGAGCTCAGGCGCCATCTGCTGGTCGAGATCAGCACTGCACCTGGACCCACAGCCCTAAGGGCAGTCAGGAGACCAAGGTTGAGACCATCTCCAACCCACTCCAGATCCAAGTCACTTTGGAAGCAGCAGAAATGACCCCACATCCTAGAGTTCTGACTCCTGACTGATTCCCAGGACCTGTCCTTCAGGACTTAAGCCTAACATTCAAAAGAAAAAGAAAAAAGTAAGTTCCTTTGTGGTAATAATAGTAGAAACTTCCAAGGCACAGACACACGGACACAGAGAAAAGTGATTTACAGAGGATTTCTGCCAAACAGAAGCTCTGTTAATAAGAGACAAAGCACTGGCCAGAAGATCAGGAGATCTGACGTCTTGTCCCATCCCTCACATGCCACTCCCTTAGCTACCCGGTCCCCCAGACTCCCTACCCAGGCCAAGCCCTATGCCAGGATGGTACCCCTTCACTTGCCCTCACCTCTGCACTGACAGCGCTGGCTGCTGTCCAGGGATTTGGACTGATCCAGAACCAAGTGCAAATCATGGGATCCAGAAGAGCCGCCACCTAACCCTCACCCCCCATGCTGGGGACACCCCTCAGGGCCAGCCCTATCTGCCTGGGATAGGGATCGGTCTGAGGATATTAGTGACCCGCCCCCCAAGGCCTCTGCTGATGGGAGGGGCCCCTAAGAGCATAGAGGGAACCAGTCAGTGCAAGCTGGGACGCACCGGCCTCGGGCTCCTCTGGCCACCTCTCCTCACTCTTCAGTCTGAGACCTAGGGGCAGCTATGCAGTCTCTGAGCTCGAGGTAACCTCAGAGCCCACACAAGGACTCACACCTAGAAAGAAGACGGTGATGCATGGCAGACTCGGCTTCCTTTCACCACACTCCTGGAACCAGGGACGGAACGGAGGGCCCCAGGGCAGGCGTGGAGCCCAGGATCAGTGGGGCTGGCTGAAACATCTTCCTGGGGGGAGGGCTGCTCCCCGAGAAGTGTCACAGGACACTTCACTGGAGGAGGAGGGAAGTGCAGAGTGAGTGACTTTCCCCGCCCTCACAGCCCCACACCCACCTACCCTGCTTCCCACCTGTCTCCTTTCCCCTCCCTCCACCCACAGGCTGAGAAAGTGTGTCACCGGGAACAAAAGGGGTGAGGGAAGACTTTGACTGTGCACCTGTAGTGCCGGGTAAGAAACCAGAGGTTTCTGAGCTTCCCAGCTGTAAGGGATGCCCCCTCTGAGCCATGACCTTGACATTAGCCTCCTTTTCTCAGAGGACTCGAGTCAAGCTGTGGGTCAGAAGCCACAGGCCACCACGCTCAGGAGGACTTGGCCGGGGGGCTTAGAGAAGAGACCCTGAAGATGCAGGCAGCATCCTCTAACCCCAGACATGCCAGCTGGGCGGGCACACCATGACTGCTGACACCCCCAGCTTCCCATCTCGCTCCACCCTGGCTCGGAGGAAGCCACTGCCCTGCTCTTGCCTCCCCCTCCAGCTCTCCAGAGACAAGTCGGCCTCCAAGGGTTAATCTGCTGCCTTCCCTCCCTTGCCTCCGCCCCCCACTGAGCTGCCACATGCTAGCAATGATGCACTTCACACTGTTATTATTTATTTAGTTTTATATTTAGTTTTAGTGATTTATTTAGTTTGAATTTGGGGGTGCACCTCATGCTGTAGGAAGCAGGGGGCCAACGGTCTTGGCAAGAAGCAAGGGCACACACGGCTGTGCCAGGCCAATCCCGTCCCCTCTGCCTGCGGCCCCTGCATCCTAACCCCGCTCTTCCCAGCCTGTGGTCTGCTCCTGACACCAGCCCTAAATCTACACTCAATCTTCCTCCTGTCCCGTTGGAGATGTTCCTCCTCAGTAGGAAGGGAATCCACAGAGGCTTCTATGCTCACCTCCTGCGTGACCCAGGCCCCCCAGAGTCAGTTAGAGGCCAGCCCAGGCCAGGCTATCACTGAGGAGTGGTTCACCTTTGGCTGGCTGCCGGGCACAAGATACCAGCTCTACAGAAAGGCGACAGCCAGGGCCAGCTCCACGCAGACCAGAGAACATGGAACATGGTCTTTATGAATCTCTGCCCCTACTCTCCACCTAGTCCGCAGTAGCCTAAGGAAACTGTCACTTACCAGCCATTGGTTCATTAAACAAACACTGGTGCCCACGATATACCACATCCTATCCTGGAACTGCAGATGGGATTAAAAGGACCATCATGGTCTTCATCCCCAGACTTTACAACTTACTGTGAAACCAACTAGACACAACTAACCAAACTACAAGAGGCACAAGCAGAAGGAGCAAAGGTGTGCAGAGGGTCAGAGGAGATTTCACAGGAGAGCTGGGATTTGGCCAGGACACACAGCACCTTGCACAGTGCCCAGCATTTGGTAGACAGATGGACGAATGGCCTAGAAACACAAGGAATCACTTGACAGGGAGAGAATGGGGTAAAGAGATTCCAGGCAGACAGAGACCACGGCAACTTGAAAGTGGATGGGGTAGACCTTGAAAGTCCTGCTAAAGATTTGATTTGGGGAAATTGGGAGGCACCAAAGGTGATAAAATAATCTCAGGAAAGGCATCAGCTGATCTAGGCTTGACTTCAAGATTATTTTGCTCAGAAAGGTTCTAGGTCCAAAGGGTTCTCTCTCTAGGAGGAGAATTTCAAATATAATAATAGGTGAAGGAAGAAAATAAGTTTTTTTTTTTATTAGCGTTCTCTGGGGTACCATGAAATTATAGCACATAATTTGTAAGGCTGGGCCTGATCGGCCAGTCGACACCCTGCAGACGGCTGCTCCAATCCCTCCCCATCCCCAGAATCAAGATGAGCGGAACAGGTCAGCAAGGATCCACACCACTGTGGCGATCTGGGTTCCACACATCCTGCAGGTCACTGGCATGAGCCCAGAGGAGTGTGACCAGGGCTGTGCCCTCAGCCCCTTTCTCTTTTGCTCCATGGGGTGGATGAAGATCAGGAAAGTTTGAGGAGGCAGGCCTAGCCCTTAGGAGGAAGCCTGTATAACAATTAGAGATGAGTGATAATAGAATGGACCACCTTAGGCAGCAGGTAAGAGAATAAGCTTCCTATCGCTGGAGGTAATCAAGCAGTGGCCCACAGACGTTCTGGGAAAGTCATAGCACTGACTGATTAGGACAGCTCACTGATAGAGCAGTGCACTGGAATCACTTACTAACAGTCCCCTTGGACGCGCTACCTGATCACTCTAAGTCTCCAGCCCTCATCTGCAAAAGGGGGTTAATGATGGCACCTACCTCATAGGTTTGCCCTGAGGACTAAGTGAGATAACATGTGGGAAACAGCGCAGGTGTGAGTGCGCAGTAAACCCTCAATAATTGATAGGTATTATTTATTTTTTATTTTTTTTGCGGTACGCGGGCCTCTCAGTGCTATGGACTCTCCCGTTGCGGAGCACAGGCTCCGGACGCGCAGGCTCAGTGGCCATGGCTCACGGACGCAGCCGCTCCGGGGCATGTGGGATCCTCCCGGACCGGGGCACGAACCCGTGTCCCCTGCATCGGCAGGCGGACTCTCAACCACTGCGCCACCAGGGAAGCCCGATAGGTATTATTAAATTCAACCATATGAATCATATTAAGTTACAGGTCAAAAACAATCAAATATCAACAATTTTGTATGGCCCAACTAAAATTTTATACTGAGGGCCACTCAGGTTCCTTCTAACCTCTCTGCTTTCACACTGAAAGTTTCTGCGAAGCATAGTTCCACGCCACTGGTGGAGCCCCAGGGCCTGGGGCCAAGCAGCGAGAACTCTGCGGGGGCCTTTTCGGAAGCCCATCCCCCCTGGCAGAGGTGGGTACCTCTTTGCCCAGGTCCTCTCGGATGACCTGGCGGACCTCCTGCATGCTGCTCTGTGGGGCCTGGCTGTGTAGCACCTTCAGCGTGCTGGTGTACTCCTCCGGCAGCAGGTAGTCCAGAGCCCCCAGGTGCTGGCCCACCTTGATGAACGTGCCCCGGTTGGCACAGCAGAGCTCGCAAAGGCGCCTGGCAGAGCGAAGGTGCACCTGCAGGAAGACAGGCGGGGCCAGAGATGTGAATGCTCACTGTCTGCTGCATGCTCTTCTCTTCTGCCCCCTCTACTTAGAAACCCTGATTCACCACCACCACCCCCCAGTGTACATACGCGCACACACACACACACACACACACACACACACACACACACACACACACACCATCATTCACCTTCAGTCTCCCGGTACCCAGAGCAGTCAATTCCAATCTCAAACTGGAACCAGCCTCCTGACATGGCCCGATGCTTCTGATCGCCTTTCCTTCAAAACTTACCTAGTCCAAGTCCCACTCCCTCAGAAACTAGCGTTTGTCCAAGGCTTTCAACCAATTCTAATCTACACTTATGATTCATTCAAGGATACATTGAGTTCACGCATTTGTCACCCACCCCTCAGTCATACTAATAATACCATCTGTCTGTTTGGAGGTCTACAATTTTTAAACATGGTCATATTCATTATTTTTTTAATCCTTACAACAATTTAGGGAGGCAAGTGCTGGTATCTTTAAGGATAAGAAACTCAGACGTTTTGCTTATCAAGAAATAGTTAACTAATGTCAAAGGAAGGTCTAGAAAACGCTTCAAACCTACAGCGCTTTAACGCAGCCAACTTTAGCAGGGTCTCCTGTCAACTGAAGGAGAACCTTACAGGGAGCATCAGGCACACGGGGTAGGCAGCAGGGCAGGCTGTGCAGGACAAGCCGGCCTTAACCTGCAGCCTGATGCCCACCTGTCCTTCCAGAGTGGGAGGTGGCCTCCATCCGCCCCCAGGCTACACATCCCCAGTCATCACCCCAGCTCAGCTGAGGGCCTTGGCATTTTGAGGGTCCTGCCTTCTTGGAGCTACAGTTCCTGAAGCAGGATGAAGCCGTGGGCACACACAAAAGACAAGGGAGCCCGGTGCCCTGTGGGAACCTGGTACCCTCGTCCACCCATAAGTCAACCGGGAGAGTGAATATCTAGGATGGACTTACACTCTCTCAAGTGCTATGAAGGATGCTGACACAGTTAAGTGTGTATTGGAGGCAATAAACCACATGAAGAGATAAATAACCATTGGCAACAAAGACGGAAGAAACGTTCAGAGATCCTACATAATTAGTTGCTGAGTGAACCATACAGAAAACCGTTACCTTAGGAATTAAGAAGAGGACACTGCAGCCCTGAACACCCTGGTCCCAGCAGCCAGGGAGTCATCTATCCACTCCCTCTAGAACAGAGGGATGCCCCACACTCCAGGCACTCGCAAGCTGTCCTTAGGCCCTCAAGGGCTCTGCTGGACACCTCTGCATCCCACCCCAACCCACTACTGGGGAAGCCTATGTCCACATGACTCTATGCCCCTGAACAGAGTGCAGGCGCCTGGTCCAAACTAGGCCAAGAAGAGTCTTTTTTCCCTGACAGGAGGGTGCAGAGAGAAGGGAATTGACTCTAAGAATTAAGGCGGGGCGGGTGTGGGGAGAGAACACATTTCCCTAGATGAGTAAAAGGCCCATGGGGGCAGCAGCGGGGGTGGACTGGGAATTGAGCTGGCCGGTGTCAGATGGTAGAAGGTCACTACTGTCCAAGGCCACACTCACGTTCTGAGGAAGTGAGAAAGAAGGCAAACGTGGTCAAATATGGAACTGGGCGTTCCCCCACCCTCCATGAGTCCAGGCTGTTATGAACAAATGACTCTTTACAGCTCAAATAATCAACGCCAATTCCCACCCTGCCGAATAAGAGGCAGCCAGCAGGTCATCCACGATCCATGTGTCCTAAGGTACAGTGTGACCGGAAGCCAGGTCCCACCAGAGGCTCCCGGTGAGGCTGCCCTGGCACCCAGCTGCCCACTCCACCAAGGAGGCATGCTCCGCCCTCACGCCAAAGCCACCGCAGGGTCAAGGCAGAGGACTGGAGGGCAGAGTGAGGACACACCCCATGGTCTCTGCGCCTCCCAGGAAAGACATCAACCACTGTGTATTCACTGGGGTCTGACTGAGTCCCACGCCCTCCACCTCGTGGGGAGACGTGACAGAGCCACTCACACACAGAGAATGACACGTGGCAGTAGGATCACACTGAGGACCACGGAGCTCACAGATGGGAGAAACAAGAGGGTTGGAATTAGAGAGGCTTGGCTCCTGGGGAGAAGCGGGGTGCGTGCAGCTCAGGGCCCCTCAGCTGCAAATCCACGCTTCTTTGCCGTGCGCTGTGATACTGGTGCTAGACCCTGTGTCATTTCTCCTTTGTCAGATGGGTCGCTATTAGGCTTTGTCAACAGGGGGCTCTGGGGAACACTGCAAGGCCACAGCACAAGGAGGCTCCCTTATTGTCCCCGTGCACTGTTTTCAGCTCATCAGCCAGTGGGTAGTGGCTTGGGGGTGACCACTTTGGTGGCCCTCATGGACCAGCCCACCCTCTGTAAATTTCTCCACTACCTGATGGGCCCCTCCTGTGGACCAACTCAGGCCCCATATCTTCCAGCAAGTGTTCTGACCACCCAGCAGGCGGCTCCTACACACTAGCTCCAGGTCGCACCCTCCTACAAATTTCTCTGCCACCTGGCAGGCTGTTCCCATGGACCATGCCCGCCATCACGTCTCATCACCAGGGCAGCCCAGCATCCCAGCCTTGCAGGTGGGAGGCCCCCAGCTGAGTCTTTAGCTCTGTTCTTGTTCACCACCCCCTCAGCCCTAGAGGGAGCAGGTGCTTTACGCATTTACTACTTCTGCACCTTTAGAATCTTCTTTTACTCCTTTTAGGAGTTAACTACCTTTTCCTAGTGAACAAGTCTTTATATTTAAATTACAGGTATGACTAGTCCCTGGCTGATACATAGGATTAGCCCCTGAAATTGAACCTGAAAAGATTAGAATAAAAAAGGATGGCCTTTCAGATCGAGAGAACAACATGCATCTGTGTGTGTGTGTGTGTGTGTGTGTGTGTGTGTGTGTGTGTGTGTGTGTGTGTGTGATACTGAAGACCTGCTCCACCATTTTCTTTAGACTGGATTCACATCTGCATTTATCTCTGCTGCTGGCCGCCCTCAGAAAGCATTAGCCTCACCCTAACAAGCCCTCCTACCAAGGAGCAGAGCCAGGGCTCTGCTGCCCCTCACCTGTGGCCTGAGCCAGTCCTGGGTAGGGCGTCTCTTGGCACAAAGTGATGGTCACCTTCAGGACACTGTCTGGGCAATGCAGAGAGCCCTCTCTGGTCACACAAGCCCAGGAAGGCTGGTCTACTGCTGACTCACTGGTTACTTGGCACATCAGCCATTGGGGACAGAGACCATGTGTTGTGTCCCCTGTAGACTCTGTGTACCCCAGGGCAAGCCATGCATGAGCTATAAATGTAGACTGATGACAACCTTGGGTCATACACTCACAAAACCATCATCCAGGAAGCTGAATCAGCATCTACTGCAAATGGCGCCCACATTTCAACAAAAGAAGCCCCAAAGTCACCTTCAACCAGCTTCTAATTAAATACACACACACACACACACACACACACACACACACACACAGAGTCACATGGGGGTGAGGGACATTGCCACTAACCAAAAAGTGTAAATGTTCTTTTAAAGCCAAAAGACACACATGCTGAATAACAGAGCAGGCACTCTGGTCTCCAGCGTCCCTTTCTAGCTCCAGCTCCTACAGCTCCACCATCCTTTGGGATCAGAAGGCAGGTGCCACTCAGAACTTCAAGAAATTACTCGCTTAGTGCAAACTCCCTCTTTCAGCATTCACCTCCTGCTTGCTGGTACCTGGGATGGAGGACTGCCCTTCCCCCAGCTCACTGAGCATCCTTGCTTCTGGGATCTGTAAGTAATAATAAATCTTGTAACTCTACTTCCTCTGTGCGGGTGTATTTAAACTGTACCTTCAATCAAAACAACCCACTGCGTTTCACTTCCCCAGTGGAAGCTTGGAGGCCGAGGGAGCTACCAGCCAACCCCATGTAGGAGGCTTGCGCTCCTCATTCATCAGGTCATAAACTACATATTCTTTTTTTTTTTTTTTTTTTTTTTTTTCGGTTCGCGGGCCTCTCACTGTTGTGGCCTCTCCCGCTGCGGAGCACAAGCTCCGGACGCACAGGCTCAGCGGCCATGGCTCACGGGCCCAGCTGCTCCACAGCATGTGGGATCTTCCCGGACCGGGGCACGAACCCGTGTCCCCTGCATCAGCAGGCGGACTCTCAACCACTGCGCCACCAGGGAAGCCCATAAACTACATATTCTTAATTCAATATACCAGCTCTTGCTTCTCAACACATGTTACTGCCCTAACACTCCCCACCCATTTGCTCACTGGACCCGAGTCCTGCCCTTACCCAGCACCTGGTTTCACTGCCGCGTGTCCTCACTGCAGAGTCCCCACACTCCCCCTTCTGTTCCTGCCAAACACGGCAGGAACGGCTGGCAGTGTCTCTCTGCCCCTCCTCCAACTTTGTTTTCACTCCCAGCTCAATAACTTGCCTTATGATTATCTCATTACCAATAACCTTGTTGGAATGAGTTTTAATCTGCCTCATATTAATTAAAAGCATTGTCATTAGCCAGCTTGGGTTGGGGTTGGGGGGGCGGGCAGTGAATAGCTAATAAGATCAACTCAGTACTGATTAATTATTGATTGGGAGGGATGGAGCAAAGGCCCAAGGAGAGCAATCCTTTACTCGTGTCTAAATCCCCAAGAGTAGGGATCTCGAGCCCCAAACTTGGCAGAAAGGCACCAAAGCCAGACCGAATCAAAGCGGCTTCCCATCAGAATTGAGCAGTGTCTCCAATGGGATTTCGGGGTGTGACTGTGAGACAGAGACGAAAGAGACAGACGCATATACATACCCCACACATCACAGGAAGAAAGAGACAGTGAAAGACAAGGTCACAGACAGACCCCAAAACAGACAAGCCCCTTGACGGATTCTTCTAATCAAAGATTCAAGACCCAAAGGAAATGCACTGACATGTAAACAGTGTTACCTCTGGGCAGTGAGATTAAAAGA